AACTGATAGCGCCCTTTTCTCGATGCGCGCGAGCTAGTTTACTTTAGCACTTAACTGTGATTGATTGGTATTCCACAGCTGTGATTGGTTGGTATTCCACAACTGTGATTGGTTGGTATTCCACAGCTGTGATTTGTTGGTATTCCACAGCTGTGATTGGTTGGTATTCCACAACTGTGATTGGTTGGTATTCCACAGCTGTGATTTGTTGGTATTCCACAGCTGTGATTGGTTGGTATTCCACAGCTGTGATTGGCGCGTTAACATCGATGATGAAAAAAACGCGCCAATCAAAGCTGTGAAATACCAACCAATCACAGCAGTGTAACCTGCTTTATAAGACGACCCGAGACCAGTCGTCCTTATCACTAGATGAAGACTAGCAGTATGCAGTCGAAACGTCGCGATTCTCATCATAAGTGACCATATCGTAAGACAAACGCTTAAAATGCATTATTCTTGTAATATTTTACCTATAAATTATTCATCTTTCAGGATTTTCGATTCGATGTTACGCGATTTTATGGCCGATTTTGAGAACAATTCCAGCATGCTGAATCTAACGCCTGGGTCTCGTAGATACAAGAAATGCTTTCGTTTCTTGCCTCTGAATGGTAAATTTTAGCACTTCTTTGAATGAAGAGATACTACTTGGTCTTTCTGCCTTGCATGTTATTAATGGCATAATAACACGACACATTTGCATGTTCTGCAACTTGTATCTTCATTGTTTATATCCGAGGAGAACCCTAGGAGTAAGACTATCAATTTTCTTCCAATAAAAATCTGGCACAAAAGAAAAAAAAAACAGTCAGGATTTTAGATCAATAAAACGGTGATACAAATGGAGTGGAAGCTGAAAATCTCATGCGAAATGTAATTAGTTGATTTTCCTTAAATTTGGTAACTTTCAGAATATTCTCACTTATTGTCACATGTTCTACTCGGCGCTTCCTGGAGCGAAAGAAGTTTTTCAAACATACACATTTTAAAAAATTAATGAAGCTTTCAGAGATTCTACATCAACAAAGATCGAGGCTGCGCTCAACAACTTTCCCCTTGAGAGACCTTGCACAGGGTGGGCCAATCCCAGCGTTGATTGCGACCCCAGTGCTGGCAAAGTCGTGTTTTGTACGCCTTGGAATATCTAATTCACATAACTCCTTAAGTAAATTCTATGATCAATGAAATCGGAGGCCTTTTGATAGACAAATAAGAGATTTAGAAACGGAAGGGACGTGTGAAGTTATAAGTTTGGGGTCAGTTGTAACTTAAAGATGAAACAGTGTCCTCGACGCAATCCACAGGGACACAAGAAAGACCATGTTTAATCGCAAATAGAATGGTATTGTGTAATCCAATGCAAACGAACTTAAAGAAATTAACAAAAGAAAAGCTAATGACCGACTGAGACACAAGAGATTCATCATTGTTGAGTGGAAATAATTTATACACATTTCTTTACCATTTCAATTCATATCTTTCAATAAATGATTTAGTATTTTTCTTGCAACGATATACACACCTTATGATTTCATTTTAATCCGTTTTATATCTAATGTATCACCACACCTTACAGAAAGTTTTGATGTTGGAAGCTGATCGCTAATCGCTGGAGTCGATCGCTGTATAGATGAGTTTCTAAGTCAACAGAATCAACATTCTAACAAGAACTGAAACTCTTCCCTGGTCCATTATCTACACATGTTGCTGTTTTCATCATGTTGAAACCGAGAGATAATCTCTGGATGTAGATTGAAATTTTTCTGAGATCGGTGACCATTGCCGAAGCTAAAAATCAAAGAATGTTTGGAACACATAAAAACAAACTTAACACAAATGAGTTGACTGTAAAGGGTAAACGGAGGGGACTACATACCCAGAAATACAAAAAGTTTGTCCGCCACTGTATCTGACGATCTAGCATCAAATATGCGAAGTACGCATTCAGAATCAAATCCTCGTTGAATAGATAAAGAACACACCTTAATTTTTATCTTTAGACGGCCACCTTTGTTTCCCTACAATCCTCATTTCGACAGAACAAGTCCACTTACACTGATAACATGGCGACAGTGCGACAACACCTATAGAATGGAATGAGGAATACTCCCGGCATCTTTCCCTTTCTATTTCACAGCTATCCGTCATCCGTCGTTGTAAGAATGAATCAGTTAAAATTTTAAAATCGAGGGGGACTGGAAACTTGTCCTTTGTGAAACGGTCATCTTTTTTCCTTTATCCGGTTAGTCAGTGAGACATTTGTTTTCTGACACACTTCAGCAACATTGGAATACGGTGTTCATTAAGATCAGATGTCTAGTTTTCGCAAGCTCTCGATCATTTCTCCAGAGACAGGCGGACATTTCACATAATGCACAAGGTGAGATGAAAGAAGGCTGAAAGTCCGCTGCATGTCCGATATTTGTCGAGTTCATAAATGTTTGTGAAATGGTTTCATTGACCAACGAGTGGTTCGCCACACAAAGCAGATGAAGCGGACGTGACATTATGTGTCAACTGCTCCAACTTATGTATCTCTGTCGTGCAGCAGTGTCTGATTCTCAGCAAACTCCATAACAATACCTCATTGTTTTCACACGCTTGATTTTAATCAATCCTGAAAAGGTTTCGAAAGATGACACCTGCAACCGTTCATGCTTAACTCGTTTCTACGCTACGCGGACCCACGAGTTAAAAAGGGCCCTCTAGCTTTGCCCCACTGGGCATTGTCTTCATCTGATTAAAACGATTTCCTGTTATTTAATAAGTTTCCACACAAATCATGCAAAGTATTGTGTGTTTAAAACGAAACTGAAAATACGTTTCTCGGCTTACATCATCGGTAACGCACATTTGTACAGGCTTTGTGCTAATCACCCGCTAGCAAATTTCCTTAATGATTTCTGAGCTGGTAATGCTATCATTTAACAACAGTTTATATGTGGTCAAGTTATTTTCTCAGTCCTCGTGGTTTGCATATGTTTCATTTTGATTTTAATGATATAAAATAGTTGGACCATGACTTACTACTCGGTAACTCAGTACCTGTTCCTCAGTGCTCAACCCACTAACAAGGGAGTGTTTTTCGGAGTAGGATACCACATGCAAACATTGTGGTGTTAGAAAATTAAGACGATCAGAATGAGATAGCCTTGTACTGGTCTGCATCACTCTCAAGAGGAGATGACAAACCCATTACTCATAAAACAAACCAAACCGTAATAGACTGACTGAACCTTGAAAAGTACAACCATATATTTTCGCGGGCTTAGGACCTAGGCATGAGGATCAATAGAAAAAGCAAACGTTCTACTAGTTATGAGCTTATAACTCGATCAAAGAAAATCAGGAAATACAGATGGTTACGTATAAACAATTTACATGTCTGTAAGAAGCTTAATGTATTCCTCGCAGTCTTTCAGTTTACTCTTATCTTTCCTAGTTTTCGTTAACTGAGGCGAGTGTAAAATAGCAACATTGTAAATGAAAGCATTGTTAGCTACCTGAAATAAGCAATTAAGCGTGATATGCTGGTTCAGAAACAGATAATTAACTTGGAGATACAACTAATGTCTAACTCACTAAGTTATTGTGTGCTGCAACGGCGGTTGTAGATTGTGCTTCCGGCAACCGCTGTTGTAGCCTGCGAAAACTTTTCAACATGCTCGTGCAGCACTTGCACAAGTTGACGAAACCCAACTCTAAAGTTCTACCCACGGTTCTAAAATTGTTTCCAATAAGAAATCATTTACCTTCAGCGCACGATGAGAGATGCAGGTATACTCATCAAAGCTTTTATTAAAACTTTCAATTTTGATTTCCTTGAAGTTGCCGTGCTTAGCAAATTACGTATACACATGGTTTCAGTTTC